GAAGTAAACAGTCTGAATATACAAAGTATAACAAGAGAAAATTAAAAAATGTATCACAAATGAAATAGTTGAATTAAAATATGTATAAATCAAATGAAGAATGAGTATTATTTAGGGAGAGAAAAATAGTTTTTATGTATAATATTTCTTTTATTAGAAGTTCTTCTGTCCATAAATAATACACATTCTTCATTTGATTTTAAGTCAACTATTTCATTTGTGAGACATTTTTTTAATTTTCTCTTGTTATACTTTGTATATTCAGACTGTTTACTTCTTATGTATATTACATTTCTCTGGTAATTACAAATAGTTTGTTTGTTTTGCACCTCTAGATGGAATTTTGAATGTTCCAAAACATTTAATAAATTGACAGTTTGTCTAATTGATAGTTAATTTCAAGATGACAATGCATGATTGGGGATATTTAATTTTATTATTCAAGTGGGAAACTACAGATCTAACAAATGCCTTTTCCAGCTGAACAAATAGAATACCTTTTTCTAATAAACTGAACTTCTGTAATCCAAATCCATGGTTATGAGAACTGAAGTTCAATATAAACTTTTCTTTTAAAGATACCTTCTTAGTGGCTTCTGCTATTTATTGTGTATGTTGTACATTCTGATATCTCATGAATAACTGCATAATGAACAGGTATAATTATAATGATGGTATTACACAGAAGCAAAATCATTGTCACTTCTTAATCTCATACTTCTTGTTCTTTATTCAGCAATTCCACAAAACTCATAATTCTTTGTTACTAAATGGATTTAATAATTTTAAATCGAGCTAGTCTTTCCAAATGAGATGTCAATAGTGACTACCTACACGCATGATCATAAATGTATATTTATCTGAAAGACATTGCAACGATATTTTACAATAAAGTACTAACATTTAATACATTTTTACAGTTTCAAATAAAATGACAGGCATTGGGATGTGATATAAGTTAATTGAAAAATCTTTTATAAGGGTTTTATATGCTTGAAAAACAAAATTTGTGACAGTTTAATTTTGAACTTTTAAAGTACAGAACTAGGAAACTACATCTACTGGAATGTGTGTGTAATTTTGTGTTTAGAAAATAACTGAAAGTGTGTATATTTTTTTACAACTTGCCATATTGCAAATTGACTTGCATAAGAGAAGTGGGGGGTGTGTGTGTAAGATTAAATATCATCTAGACCAATTGTTATTAAATAATTTATTTCGGTATCTATTTGTACAGGAAAAAGAGGATATAATCACACTTACAACACAATTTATGCACTATTTCTCTCTCTCTCTCTATATATATATATATATATTTATATAGCATTCTGATTATTTAAAAATTTGTATGACAAATTTCAAACCCCATAACATAATTTCACTGTCACAAAATACTGTATACTTGTTCTTAGTGTGTTGCATATATGTGAGTTTAACTGCTACTATAACATCATAATTTAAGATGAAAATAAAAAGAAAAAAAAAGAATTCAGATATATTAAATTAATAGGATCTTTAATATGTTAAGCATCACTGTAATATAGATAATATTTTACTTTTCAAATAAAACAAAAATTAAAATTTTTCAACTATATAACTCAGTAAATGTTTAATCATTCTAAGAACAAATACAATTATACAGAGAGCTAACTTTATTAATATCAAATATCTTTCTTACTAAAATTCTCAAGGACAGTAACTTCAGAGTATATAATATATGAATAAAATGTGTAAAACAAACTTTCCTTACTTTTTCTAACCAGGAAAAGCATTCCTACTGATAAGAAAGCACAGCAAAAATTATATCGAAATTTGTATAATCTGATTACATTAGTTTTTCCTTAAATTTGATGATGATTATACTAATCACATAGATCAGTAATAAAGTTTGGTGTTTAAATTCACAAATGGTTATCTCAGATAGTTGCTCCAAGTTTTTGCAACAAGCTTGATGCTTCTTTAGCGGCCTATTATTAAAAAAAAAATCAAATACATGTTTATGCCAAGTTATTCAGAAATCTACTGACATGCAAATAATTCAGAAATGAAGAGATAACAGGAAATAATTTTTAGTGGTATAGAATGAGGTGCTGTGACAATATCACTAAGATTATTCACGGTCATACCCTTGGAAACTTATTAATATGCAACCTACACCCAAAACGTGTACACAGAAACAAATGATATACTTTAAACAATCAATTACCATAATCACACTGCATCAATAGGACTTATAGGTAAAGATGTAGATAAGGTAAACATCCTTAAATTATTATGAAATGATGGCATATAATAAATAGCTGTGTTCAAAGTCCTACTTAAATATGGCAAATGTCAACATGATGGCTTCACTGTCAATACTGGTTGATGTTTTTTCTCTGTCTACACAGCATCTACGTGTTAGTGAGCCTGTTGTACACAGCTTCTGACACACATTTCATATCATCTGATGTCAAGGATAATGTTCATTTTGAAACTGCTCAGTATACAATTTTGCAGTGGCCCAAGCATTCTGATGACACTCTCTGTAAACCATGACAAACTGTTCTTCAACTGATTATTGTGCCATTATTTAATTATTTGGGAGAAGTTGATACATTACGTAAGGAGCTTTTATTTTATGTTTTTTAATGTTTTTGTTCTTTGAAAAGTGCACTGATCTGCTTGTGCTAATCCATACCTAGATTTGTGTAACAACCTCACCTGTAGTCCAATTACAAACCTATATAGCACAATACTATATGCATGGAAGGAGCATTGTTCTTGAGGAGTGATTTTGGTCTCTCTCTCTCTTTTTTTTTAATACCTCGATGCTATTGTCCAAACCTTTTCCATTGAAATTTTAGGTGACCGATTAATATTAACAAAATTTCTGAAAGACAAACCTTTAATAATCTCACTGATATTGTAACAAGGTAGCCCACTGCAGCTCATTCCATATCACTAATACTTCAATTTGGAGTTTCTGAGCAAGCTTGTGTACAATTTTGAGTCCAGTCATCAGCTTGAGAACTAGCTTGGAACAGGAAAGGCTTAGATTGTTGATGCAATCATGAAACAAAACTGTTGGTATGTCTGTATGCTAGATGACCTTATATTGCTATGGATGGAAGCATATCACAATGATGCCAAGTCTTAAACCTACATAGTTTTACAAGGAATAAATACATTATTTTTCAAAGTGCAGGTATGTTGTACTTTTTTGTAGTGTGTGAAAGAAAAACAAAAGAAAATGGTACAAGACTACTTTTTAAAAAAATTTAAGGTGAAGTATGCATCTTCACCACTTTACACAACTAAATCAGAGAGCAGTTGGCTGAGTTTCTCTTCAGGTGCTCTAGACTGGTCTATCCAGTGCCAAACCAGTGTATCAGCCACAGAAGATGCAAAAGTATTAACCAATGGATATGCCTCAGCCTACTTCATGAAGTAATTAATGACAAGAGTGTATACAGTTGACTTCATTCCATCTCTGGGAACAGACCAGTGATAGCCAATGCTACATTCTACACAGGAGAATCAACAATTCTTCACTGGAGTTTATCCTGTTTAGGCTGACTTTTTCTCTGGGTGGCGCATATGATACAGTGGTCACAGCAGCACTGAAGGTGTTGACTCAAATATAGCCAGAAGAATCTCTGTTGAATGTTAGCATAAGTGTGTGTAACACCTAGTTTCTCTCGAGTCTTTGTATTATGCAAAGTCTGGAGAATCACATGCTTTCAAAGCTCTGGAGACCACATGCTAAAAATCACTACTCTGATAACAACAGTATAGCACACCTGACTATACTTATACAAGTGCCATAGGTTACAGGTGTCCAGGTTACATTCTTCAATCTCAGCCGGTCATGCTTTACCTAGCTGCATAGCAAGGAGCCTCCATGTTAAATCTGAGTCATTAAGTTCTTTCTTCTGGAGCTCTTAAAGTGTTAATCGTGACATCCTTCCACTAGTGGTGCCTCCTACTGTATGGCTTGTCATTACTATTCAGAAATGGTGTCAACTTTCACATAGCGTCCAGGATCAGAACATTTAATTAACGGACAATGTCTCACTGTTCAGTGGGACAGGTCTGGGCTATAATGTATGATTATATCATATTCTTGCAACTCTGCTATCATCCCTTTTGAGTTTTTAAAGTTCAGTGATGCATGGTCCATTCAAACAATGAACTTTGTAGCATATAAGTAGTATCAAAAGCATTTTACAAAGGCCATAATTACAAGCAGTTCTTTTTTCATTGTATATTATCTGCATTGAGGAGCTGTGAGTGCATGACTAATGCACCCGAACCTGATTACACATCTTAGCCTGTCTTCTAACTGCAAACACTGCTCTGATTTCATTATCACTGGCATCAGTGTCTAGCAGGAACTCGCAATCTTTTTGTAGTAAGATCAACACCAAGGCTCCTATTAAAGTACACTTCAGGGACTGAAATACTTTATCTCATTCCTCATTTCATCTGAAGTTCACCTCTGCCAATAATGGTGAGTCAATCTTTGAAAAGTTGATTACAAACAGTCAATTATATGAAGCAAAACCAGGAAAACTGCAGACTTCTCATTTGGTCACAGGTTGAGGCCAATCTTACTGCCTAATTTACAAGTAGCATAACCTCAAACCTACTTAATTTGCCTCCCAAGTTTTAAATAGAAGTGTTACAGTAGGCAAGGGTTATTTTAAACTAATCCAGATTCTTTTACAAAAGACAGTTGCAACAAAACTCAAAAATAAATACATTGAAGTGTAAAAGCACATTAAAAGATAATATATTGAGAATTGAGTGCATTGTATTAAAATGATTTTAAGTGTACAATCAGCAAGTCAAATGTCAATTGCAGCTGATATAAAATCATAATGCAACATCATTTATCTGAACTATATTTTGACTTTATTTGCAGGATTATTGTTAAGATGCACAAATATGACTGAACGTGGTGAGGCTCTAAAATCATGTTAATATAATATACTCGACCTGTGTATACACAGTCACTGGCATACAATTAAAACAAAGTATGTCAAGTTTTGGGAAATTGTTCTACTGTACCTTAAATAAAATAAAGAAGACAAAAGTTTTCTCCACAGACTTAAAGCAAGAAACCTGTCTTATCAACAAGACCTTTGAAGCTGATGGTTACCTTAAGCAGTTCTTTACACAGCCACTAAACTTTGAGGCTTTCTTACTGACTCCTTTGGAAGAACCTTCAACCACCATCTCCATACCATTTGTATCTAATCTCACAAAATATTTGCAGAAAAATTGAAATATATATTTTTCAAATCTGGCAAAAGTTTTCAAAATACCCTGACCAGAACTAAATAACTAAGTAGTCCCAAAGAATTAAAATATGAACTTCACAGTACCCCTGCAGTCGTGGTGAAATTTGCATAAAAGAAACAGGAAAAACTATAACTCGGAGACTAAAAGATACAAAAAGGTGCCTATACCCAGAACAATCCACCATAGCTAAATACTCTTAGAACACAAGACACTCATTTGAATGGGACAAACACATAAGTTTAGATACTGCAAAACAAAGTAAACTTAGAAATAGTAAAGAAGCTCTCAGCTTAAAGATCAAAACACCAAAAACAACCATGATAAAAGCCCAGAAACTTAAAAATAGGATTCAATAAATTCCCAATGACCAAACAAATTCTTTATGTTTGAAAAGCTCCATGCGAGGTTTATTGCCTTTCCTCTTATCACAAAACAGACCTGCTGAAGAACTCATCTTTGAGCCAAAAAAAAAAAGGCAGGAGAAATCCTTAGTAACAGTCAACATGTAAATCTACTTTAAAGAAAGATTTGTTTAAAGTAGCAACAGCTTCTATGAGAAATTGGACTTACTGTGGTGGTAAATTAATAATGGGTAGTGAGAAACAAAATATAAAACAGTGAACCAAATAGAAATTATTTGACTATAATTTTAAAATATTTGGATATAACATTTTAGCGTGATAATTTCCTCAGCTCACTATTGAAACCAAGATCTCTCACACATCAGGTGAGTGTTCTACCAACTGAGCTAACACGTTAACACACTAGTAGTTAGTAAAATACTTTTTTAATCACTCAAACTATCTCATTCTTCCCCTATCACAAACAAGGCTCATCCTCGGGCTTTATCTCAGGGTAGTGGGTATGTGCCACATGTTGAGCAGCAGTTTTTATGTGGTAATTTTCCTCTTCTCATTATAGAATCCAGGACTCTTTTTGAATACCAGGTCAGTGATCTACTAGCTGAGCTAAACCATTAATCCACTAGCACACATTAGTAAGTTATTTTTTCAATAACTCAAATTACCACATTAGCTTATTAGGAGTTTTTCAAATATTGACTACATTATCATTCTTCAAAGACTTTCTAAGTCAGGAAATTGAACTTACACATTTATAGTATTTTTTTTGTCTTCCAGAACCTTATGAAATCATGTTTTAAACAGTGAGTTCAACTAATGTTTGTTCTCCTTAAAATACAAATTAACTGAAAAGATCAGTTTGCTTTTTTTTTGAGTAAATTTTAAAATAATTCACAGTAAAAAGTTTTGAGACTAGTGTTTTTACAGTGAAAGTTCTGTTTTAATTTGATGATCAATTAATGTTTCTGACTTTAAATACTGAGGTTTAAAAAGATTGGCTTGTTTCAATGTATTTATATTTCCATATATATATTTCAAACCTATTACAGAATTGCTAATGCTTTGCATGGGATTATATCTACTTGCTCTACAATGACCTACCAAGTTTTATATATTTCTGCGAGTTATGTTTATCTGTCTCTCCTAAAAGAATCTGAAAATAGCTTGCTATAAAATAAGAAATTGATTTACTGTGTAATAGTTCATTGTAAAATAGGATAAACAGTTTCCATATGTAATTAGTGAAGAAGGTTTTAAACTACTTGATACTACAAAAGAAACAGTTTCACTACTATGTTTATGTGATGACTTTGGCATGTTGTGCCATAAGGTTCAGAAACTTGAAATTTTCATTTTAATCTAAAAAAAAGGGAAACAGAAGTTTTATAAGTTAAAAATATTCATGTGTACATGTTAATAATGCCTAGTTCTTTGCATGAATTAATAATATGAGAAAAGCACAGAAGCAACTACTATTTCCTCCACCAGTTATGTATCAACTATGCTGGTTCTTATATAACTTAGTTTTATTTGTAATAATTATATTTTTTGTCTGTTGTACAGTTAACTTAGGCACAAATGTGAGTGAAATTTTTTTAATCAGAGCAAAATGTTTATATACATCCACTTGTTCTATCTGACCACTCCAGGGGTTTAAAACCTCACTGATGAAACAGTAGCACTTTTAAGCCTCACCTTCATTGTAATTGTCAATTGAAGATATATAAGTATTTACAAAAATCTTTATTGCCAAATAGAAATTGTTATTGAATTTGCATAAAGTACAAAATTTTTTGAATAATTTTATTTTTTAACTGTATCCAGTCAAATCATTTTGTAACCTGAACCAGTATTTCTTCTGATCTTTCATTTTCAGAAATATTTGAGACAAAACAATGATATTATTCATTAACATGTCCACCACATCAAAAGTTTGTTACATATACTTATTTAAATTACTTGATGCAGCTCGCTTAATATTTCTCTTTACTTTCACACTGTAATGAAACATCTCCCTAACTATAACACGTCAGCAGGAGAGAATCAATTACAGTCTTGAGAATTATTTTAATACTGACATTTTATTTATAATGAATAACTTGGAAGTATTACTATGCAGTTGATCTTTTTTAAGCTCACTGCTCTAGCAATTTCAGGATATTTTTTATATTCAAGTGAACAGTTCCTTAATTTCTTCTTTGCATAGTATGAACATGCATGAATAAAAGTAAGTGAAAGATTTATTTGGGTAAATAAACCATAGCTAACCTAGTGGTGGAAAACATCTAGTAAAAACAAAAATATAATAAAACTACATTTATTACATTCACAATTAGCTAATGAAAATTATAGAATTCATGCTCTACAATGTGCACATGAGAAACAGTGGCCATTATTGCAACAATTAATGCTGTTAAGCATGAAGTTGCTGGTATACCTTTAGAATCAATGTTATGTCTTTATAGTATACAGAAATGTTTTTGTTTTACTTTAGATTTCATTTGGAGTAGATTTTTTCTGTGGTAACTGAAATATTTGCTCTGAGCATTAATAAAAAATTAAAGCTTGACTATGTGTTATAATGAAAAATCTATTTATGACTGGAATAACATTAGAGAACATATTTCAGTTGGAGTTTTGTATTCTTTATTAATTTAGATCTAGAGATGTATTAAAGTTCTAAATGATATATACAACAGATGTTTTCTAAGCTATTAAAAGATATTACTGTTAAAACAATTTAGTAAAACTTGAACAATAAATTACTATGTACCAATGAAACAAATCTAAAATATTACATCTACAGTTCAGCAGCATTTTCAATCAGTAATACCTAAATTGTGTGTGCAATCATACACAAGCACCATGTACTCTGAATTTGCTAACCTTGTGCCTTTAGGACATCAGAAAATAAGCAAACTTTCCTCTGACTTAAAAAGTAACATGAACAACAATAATGTTTTATCATTTATGTCATCAATCATCGAATATAACATGCCCAGAATCAGATGATGACAGTATCAGGCCTGTTGTTAATGTTAGCTCATTGAATGTCACACTGTTTGTTATCCAGAGTCATGATTCTTTACAATAAAACAAAATAAACTAGAAGAGCACTCAGTAGATAGTACACCTCCACCAAGCAGCTCTCAAAAAATATTAAAATGTATCCGTATGTCCATCATTATCAATGGACACGAACCATTTCTGGCTGGACAATGAAGAATAATATTTTACGTATGTCCACCAAGTTTCATCAAAATCTGATCATTTTTGATTACATAATAGAGCAAAAATAGTGTGAAAAATCAGTCCCCATATTAACTAATCACTTCTAAGTTGAGTCATAATCAAAACATATAACTTTTGTCCAATCCATTCAGCCATTTTTGAGAAATGTTGCTGACAAACACACGGGTGAAAATATGACCTCTGTCCACCTTCATTGGTGGAGGTAATGAATTATAAACTACTAAAAGCACCAATATCATAGATATTTTTGAATAAAAGGTCTAGAACTGGCTATTTTAAATACGCAAAAGCAGACACAATTGAGTAATACAATCATCTCCACCTTCTGCTCAAGTTCCAGATAATAATACAGATAATTATAATTATGATAAAATAACTGAAATAATTTTCATTATTGCTCATCACTAGTTTTAACATACTAAAATGGATAATTTTCATCCTACTTTTACAATAATAAGTTTATATATTATACAAATAACATTAACAAACATTACTATTATACCTTTTCATCATCCACTGTCCTTTGTGGATATTCTTTGGCTCTTTTCAAGAACTGAATAGCTTTTTCTTTATTGTTTAGTTTTAAATATGTTTTACCAAGCATTAGCAGGTTCATGCTGTAGAAGTCTGGATCCACTGAAAATACATCAGTATTTCAATATTTTCAGAATACAATTTGTCTAAAATAATTTCCATATAAAGCTTAGAAATTGAAACTTGTCAAAGTTAAAATAAAAAAATAATATAAATGCAAAATATCTATGCTCAGAATAAACAAAAACAATCAAATTCTCATACTTTATCTTTATCAAAATAATATTGGAGTATTACCAGAATAAAATAATTGTTTCTACAAGTTAACCATTTCATTAGTATCAAAGTACAAAGAATAAATATCCCCCTTTTTTTTATCATAACTGTCCTTTACTTATTGTTTTAACAATCTCACTGATACAGCTTTTACAATTACTCATAAGTCAAATGAAGATATGGTTGACTCAATCCTTAGTTTGAAAGCATTATTTAGGTTTAATATTGTTTACACTTTTTAATTTTAAAACTAGAGTACATCTCATGAAAAAAAATTCTGGGGACCATTGTAACATAAAATTGTATGCATATGTTTATTATGCAGTATTGTTCTTCACATATTTTAATTATTTATAACTGTTAGAGATAATTATTGATGATGATGGAAACATACATTTTTACTATTTACAAAATTGAATATTAGAGAAACGCAAAGATAACAGAAAATATAAAAATAAAGACCCAAGAGAGTACTTACATCTTTCTGCATTTTCAAAATGTTCTAAAGCCTGACAAAATGAAAATATACTATAAGAAACATTTTAACAAAAATATTCAAACTAAATATAATTTTATAAAAATTTAATAACCATATAAAAAACATTATTACTTTTGAAATTACTTATGATAAAGACTAGTAAATCATACATACACAGTGTGGTCACACGTAAATAAACACCACCTTTTCAGAAAAAATGACATTTTTCAGTCATAT